AAGGAGAAGGAACAGGGCAGATAAGAGATTTTCCTGTGTAGAATTTTGGAGGAAAAAAATGACTTTGAAACATTTGCAGGTATTACTGTACTAGATTGCCCTCTATTCCACAAAATAAAATTCATGTTACATATTCAAGGTTTTAGTTAAACAGAAAAAGGTTGGACACAAAAACAAAAGAAAACAACAAACAAAACCAGTGTATAATTGTTCTTTGATCTCAGAGCTCAGAATACCCTCACCTGGGATTAAAGCACAGCCCACCTTTGTCATGACCACCTGGACATAAAGCACCCATTATCATTATCACTATCATTATCATTATCATTATCATTATGACCACCTGGATACATAAAGCACCCGTTATTGTTATCATTAACAAGCAGATAGCCTCAAGACAGCTACCAACTATACAAGCCTTCTCACGCTTCTTTCCTTGTCTAAAGAAGTCTTTCTCAGAACTAAGAAATGAACCTTTATATGTAGACAATTAGTATACTTCCTATACTACACAAATAAACACACATACACACTCATAATAATCTTTTTCAGAAACTGCCCTCCATCAGTGAAGTATATTTTTTTAGTGGGGTCAGTTGAGACATAGTCTCAGTCTGTAGCCCTGGTCAGCTTGGAACTTGCTATGCAAACCAAGCTGGACTTCAACTCACAAAGACCTACCTGCCACTGACTCCCAGGTGCTGGGATTAAAGGTCTGCACCACCATGCCCAGCCAATTTTCACATTTTTTTTACAGCTTTATGAATGACACCTTTGAGAAATGTTTTTTGTTAAATATTTTATTTTTTATTATTTATCTTATGTATATTAGTGTATTGCTTGCATGTGTGTAAGTGCACCTGTGTCACTGATCTCTGAGGAGGTCAGAAGAAGGCATTGGATCCCCTGGAACTGGGGTTATGGATGGTTGTTGGCTGCCATGTGGGTGCTAGGAATTAAACCCCGGTCCTCTGCAAGAGTAGGCAGTGCTCTTAACCACTGAGCCAGCTCACTAGTCTCCAGCTTTGAAAAATCTTATGGAAGTGTTTAGTGGTCATAGATTTTTATTTCTCTCAGATACATGTATTTTTAAAGTTATGCTTAACTACATAAGAAACTGCCAGGGTTTTCCCAAAGTAGTTGTATCATTTTACACCCCTCCCAGCAGTTTTTTCTGCATCTTTGCAAAGTTTGATGTTGTCAGTTTTCTTAGCATAAGTGAATCTAGATGTATGGAAGTGTCTAATGATAGTTCTAACTACACCTGGCTGGTGACAGGAATAGTGGGTGTTTTCCTGCACATATTGTCCTTTCATAGGTTCTACTTTGTGAAATCTTTTGACTATTTTTTAAATTATCTTTTTATTACTGACTTGTATGAATTCTTGATACATTATGGATATGTCTTTGTGAGATACATGTGATGCAAATATTTTCCACCTGTGACTTGTCTATTATTCTTTTAAAATATTTTATATATTATTTTAATTTTATGTGTATGAGTGTTTTGCCTGCATGTATATCTGTATCATGTGTGTGCAATGCCTGCAGAGGCCAGAAGAGGGCACCAGGTCTCTTGGAACTAGAGTTATAGACAGTTGTTAGCTGCCACGTGGGTGCTGGGAACTAAACCTGAGTCCTCTAGAAGAGCAGTCAGTGCTCTTAACTGCTGAGCCATCTCTCCACCTCCCCATATTCACATTCTTTTTTTATATATATTTTATTTATTATTTTTATTTTATGTGTATGCATGTAATGCCTACATGTAGGTAAGTGCACCTGTGTCGTGCAATGCCCATGGAGGACAGAAGAGACTATTGGATCCCCTGGAACTGGAGTTCCAGACAGTTGTTAGCTGCCATGTGGGTGCTGGGATACGAACCCGGGTCTTCTGCAAGAACAACCAGTGTTCTTATCCGCTGAGCCATCTCTCCAGCCCCATATTCACATTCTTAATGATATCTTTTAGTTGAGTCTCTCTCATCTGTTTGTTTCAGATATATAAAAATAAAGTTGTTTTCTTTAAATCTTGACTTTATAGCCCCTTAACTTTCTAAATTCATTTTCCAATATTTGCTAGCCTTCTTAGAATTTTCTATATAAACAAGGAGGTGGTGAATATATACAGTTTTTGTTTTTATGCTTTTGAAAAAAAATTCTCCAAACTTATTGTACTGTTTAGAGAATCCAAAACAACCTGAACAGAAGTAGTGACAGTTCATTCTGGAATGTTCTCAGTTTCACTAGGAAAAGGCTCGGCATCCACTATTAAATACGATGGTAACTAGATATATTCCAGATTTTATGGAGGCAACATGAATATATGTTTAAAAATTCCTGTATTTTTATGTATGTTCTTTATGTTTAATTTGCTTGCCTTTTTCCGTCTACACCCTTAAGGAAGAACTCTCAACTACTGGTTTTATGAGAGAGATGAGAAAACATTTCAAACCAAATGATAATGAAGACATACCATCAAGATTTGTAAGATAGGAGCTGGAGAGATTACTCAGCAGTTACAAGCACTTGCTACTCTTAAGGAAGACCCAGGCTTGGTTGTCAGAACCCATGTGGTGGTTCACAACTACCAACTCCAGCCTCAGGGGTCTGACTCCATCTTTTCTCCTCTGCAAACACTGCACACATGTGATGTACTTACATACATGTAGGCAAAATACTCATACACATACAATAAATAAAATTTTTAAATTAAAAAATTATAAAATAGCTTGAAAACAATATTACAAGGGAACTGTTTATGTTCAAAGGTGAAAGATTTAAAATCAGTAGTTGAGAGTTCTACCTTGTCCAATATCAGGTTCCTTTTAGTCCCTTTCTCTTGATAAACTGGTCTGCATTTTCATTTATTTTGTTTTCCTATTGTGTCCTAGACTGCATGCTGGATATGTTTCAGACTCTGTTTTTTGTTATTGTGCTCTAAAGTAAGTTCATTTTCATTCAAGCAGTTAGCTTGCCTAGACTCATGCCCCCGCTGCCTTCTGCAGTTGATGCTTTGCACCCTGTCTCTAGTTTTTTTCCACTTATTTTAGGTTTCAGCTGTGGTTTTTCAGTGGAATTCTTGGAGTCTCACATACCCTTTTTGTTCTGAGGTTTAGGCAGGCATTTGGTCAGAGTTTATGTACAGATTTGGGCACTTTATACGACTCCCTACTAATAAGTATGTGCCCCTCATTTCCCATTCTTTAACCTCTGACTCCTCAAATAGTTACTACTGTGATTTTCTAAGTTCTGGTCACCTTGTAGGTGACTAGGGATTGAAAAGGGGCTTTAGTTGAAAAGTAATATAAATTCAATTTGTACTAGTATGTATGTTGCCGTTTGTAGAAAAAAAAATTTTTTTCCAGTTCCTGCCTATATTTGGTTCTTCTCTGGTATTTTTACATAATTATTTTATGTATTTTATTTATAGTTTACAATATAAAACTGTTGTTTTCATGAAAGCTACACCACCTTCCCTGGAAGGTTTCTTTCCCTTTTTAATAGGTTTCTCCAAAGTACTTACTAAGAAGTTAGATTTGCAGTGTGAAACGCTGCATGTGATAGTTAGGCTTGTTTTTTAAAGTTGATGTTTTGTATTCACTGATTTTCTTACTTATTAGAATAACTTCCCTAATTATATTTTTCATTTGAAGCTTAATGAATCAATTAATTAGTTTCACAAGTCTTTGTACCTCCCCTGAGCTACGCATCCTGCAAGGTGTTAATGTTAGAATTATAAACAAAACCAGAAAACTTTCCCTTCCTCATGGAGTTGATGATTTAGCAGAACAAAAAGTAATTAATGAAATGAGATAAGTAGACAAACTTGAGAGGAGATTACTTGAGGGAAAAATAAATTATCACATCTGGACACAACCTTATCTGATAGGTTTAGGGAAAAGCCTTCATTGAGAGTAAAATAGCTGTATAAGCTGAGATCTGAAAGATTCAATAAATATCCAGAGAAGACTACTCTGTCCCAAATATGATATAAATCTTCTGAGGACTCCAAACTAGGCTGGTATTGCTAGGGAACAGGGGAGGGGAGCTTAAAATAACCATGTCTTACAGACCACATTAAAGATAGGGAAAATCAAGACATTTTTATTATCATTTATAAGGTTGAAAAATAGGTTGGAAGGGGATCAAGAATGACTATAGGTAGAATTGTTGGGATTCTGTTATAGACATCCAGGTGAGAGAGGATGGTAGCTTTGACCAAGGTCATGGAAGATGAGATAAAAGAAGGTACAGGAAGCTGGGACATGGCCGTGAATACCTGGGATATGTATGCTGAGGTGGGAAGTTGCTAGTTCAAGGCTAGCCTGGACTATGGAGTAAGGCCCTATGTCAAGAAAAAAAAATGAAAAAGGAAGTTTGGAAAATCTTGATACGTAATAAGGAAGTAACATCAACAGGTCTTGGCAATGCGCCCTTGATATGTCACTCCCTTGCCTCCATTCCTTGGATAATGATTGGTGGGGTTTGTAGATTGAAATGTGGACGAGTGAAAGAGAATGAGAGCAGGGAATGAAGCATGTGAACTCAGACTTGATCACGTTGACTGTGACATCGTTAGTAGAGCCCAGTAGGTATTAGCAGGCAGTGGACTATGTGGAGATAAAATCAAAGGAGTGCTCTGGGTCCAAGTTATACTTTTGACAACTGCAGTACTGAGCCTGGGATTGCATTTGGCATAATTCAGCATGAATCACACTGGTATCTGCCTTGAGCAATTCTCACTTAGAAAAAACATTCTAGGTATGTTTTGCCCTAGGGAAGGAGCTTGAGACCTTCAGTGCGCCTAGTTATGTGAACTCTAACCTACCTCTTAGTCCTTTCTCCTACTCTTCCATCATTTTCATCATTCCTTACATAAGTAGAGAGATAGCAAATCCAATTTTTAAAACTTTAATGTTCCTTTACCTTTATAACTTTTGCCTTGAGAAATGAAATTCTTGCCTACAGCTTAAATAAAGACTTCTAAGTTATCCAAGTTATAAGTCACTGTTTTCAAGGGGTTATTATTTCCCATTGAGCCCAATATCATAAATTCACTTTGCATTTTCTAGTGAAGGGACAGTTTATAAAGCAAACAGATAATAAAAGCACAATAGTAAGTAAAATATTTGCCCAGTTAGGAAATTGGACTCTAAAGTGCATTCAGTAGCTCTGTTTATATACCACTGATGCGGCACTGCAAGCAGGGTACAAGACCCTTAGACGGGGCTTGGACACATGTTTACACATCAGCCTAAACTACCCTTCAAACATCTCCCCATTCATGTCATGCCTGATTAGCACAGTTCCCAAAAATGTGTGTGTAGTGGATTTGCTGTACAGGATATGTTATCCTGAATTCCTTTTATTTGTGTCCATTTAGTTTACAATAGTCATCAGTGCTCACAGGTGAATCATGAATCTTAGGTTTTGAATTGCCTTCTGGAAAACAGTTTATCACATACTCAAAGTATAAGGAAAATGAACATTATTGAATGCCTTGCTTTGTTCCCGGTTCTTTGCCGTCTTCATAAATATTTGTTCAAAAAGCATCCTCAGAGCCACATACTGTTTTTATTGCTGTCCCCACTGTGGGATAGTCTTCTAACTAGGTATTGTGTACTCCCTCTGGATGGTCGCTGTATACTGTGGCCCTGCTCTGATGGAGTGTACCATTCACAGGGTCCTTCTTCATCCTGGTAGGTGCCTTGATGGCTTAACTATCCACACCAGGACTAGGTGACCCTTTTGCCAGGAAAGTTGTTTCTACTGGAAGGTGCCCTTGTGGCTGTGGTCTGACCCATGTCTCGTTTATTGGTCAGAAGGGGCAAGGAAGAGACCAAACCACAGGCACATGGATTAACAGAAGCAGTTATTACCCACAGATCCCAGAGAGAAGGGGTCAGGGTACCTTCCAGGGACAAAGAAAAGATGGGAAGTCATCCAGGACTCCTTATACTCAGCCAGTGGATAGAAAGCCAGAGAGAGAGGATCATGGGACCCGTTAGTCAAAGCCTTTATTAGGGTTCAGAGTTGGATTGGTGGGTTTAGAGCAAGCCAGCTTCCACTTCAGAGTGTGGCTATGATAGAGGTGGGCCTAGCAGCATCTCTGCATAGTCTGAGATGTGCCAGGTCGGGGGTCGGGGGACAATCCATTAGGTTGCATCTAGACATCTCATAAGAAGTCATCACCAGGAGAAAGTGATATAAGGTGGATGGACACCTGCATGGACCGCATTGAGGAAGCAGACAAGCTGGAAACTGTGCTGGGGGTCACAGAGCCCTGCTCTGATGGGAGAAAGCTAATCCTAGCTTCAAAGTGAATGCTGGGGCAGCATAAAAGAAAAAGAATTCACCATGCTTATTTTGCTGAGGGGAAACTGAGGGCTGTGTTAAAGAAAGCATTTACTAAAGTCATTCAGCTAGTAAGTGGTGGTGGTGGGATTTAAAGCTGCAGTCGAGTGATTAAAAATTTCCCTTGCATCCCACTAAGCCATGAATTTTCTGTTATTATTTTAGTTGATGTTCATTTTTTATCTTTTTAAAGTGCTAGTCCACAATGACTTTTCTTTAACTCTCCAATAAGGAAAATTACCTTTCCAAGTTTGTCACAGAAGCTTGTTCTATAGGCTGTATTTTAAATTTTTGCTTATGTTGAAAACATAATAAAGGAGCTGAAGAGATGGCTCAGAAGTTAAGAGCACTGATTGTTCTTGCAGAGGACTCGGGTTCAAATCCCACCAACCACATGGTGGCTAACAACCATCCGTAACTCCAGTTCCAGGAGATCTGACAGCCTCTTTTGTCCTCCATGGGCACTGTATGACATGGGAACACTTACACACATGCAGTCATAATACTCATATACATATAATAAAAATTAATTAATTAAAAATATAATAAAGACTATTCATTCATTTTTCTACCGTTTCTCGTAATTACTGCAGAAAAGATCATCCTAGCTGGATATGATGGCTCATGCCTTGTAATCCCAGAATTATGGGAAGTGGAAACAAGAAGATCATAAGACCATCCTGAGCTACATCAAGACCTTGTCTCAAAACAACTACAGAAAGCAGGGTGTAGTGGTGTAGGTCTTTGGTCTCAGCACTCAAAAGGCAGAAACTGGTGGATCTCTGAGAGAGCAAGGCCAGCCTAGTCCACATAGAAAATTTCAGCCCACCTGGGCTACAGGGAAACCCTGTCTTAAAAGATCACAGAACAAACACACAAACAGAAAGATAATTTTACATTATGTACTGATTTTTCTATCAGATATAGCTTCAGATTTTATCCAGTCATAAAAAAAGTCCTAATCTCCCCTTGGTCATGGTGTTTTCAGAAGGAGAGCTTGAAGCGGAGTGGTTACAAGATGTGGGTTTGTCAACTCTGATCTCTGGTGATGAAGAGGAAGATGGCAAAGCTCTCCTGTCTACACTGACTCGGACCCAAGCAGCTGCAGTAAAAAAGAGATACAACACATATACCCAAACGCTGAGGAAAAAGCATAAGCAACCTGTCAGGGATGTCAGAGATGTCTTCGGAGTCAGTGAATCTCCCGTAAGTAACCACGTGGATCAAAAGGAGTTTGCTCTGATTTCAGGGATGGAAGGGCACAGCAGGGATGGGGGGAAAAAATCTCAGAAAAGGCTGATCAAGTCTATCAGAACTAAAGAGACAGCCCAGCAACATTTAATGAATCAGAACTTAATCACTCCTTTTCTCCCATGGTTCCATGTCCCTCCAGCCCAAGTATATTCCCCCCTCTCTCTGTTGAAGTTGGAAAGGAACTTCTTGGCAGTGGAGCAAGCCTTTAGAGATGGAAGGCATGGGGCCTTATTTGAATCTAAGCCCTGAGTGGAAATTTTGTGCAAGCATAGAATCCCAGAGAAATACCATAGGCTTTGTAAGTCCAAGTGAGTTGTTTTAAATGTTGGTAGGGGAAATGGGTGGAGTAGCTTTTATGTTAAGAAAATTTAACATGGTTGTGTGTGTGTGTGTGTGTGTGTGTGTGTGTGTGTGAGAGAGAGAGAGAGAGAGAGAGAGAGAGAGAGAACAAGTGAAGTAGGTACACATTTCTTATGAGAAATGGCTGAGTGAAGGTCCAGCTTGCCTGTAGCAGCACCAGGGCCACAGTGCACTCCAGGGACCTTTAGTCACTTCCTGTATTTCTATAGCAGCTTTCCTACCAGCTTGTTCAGTTTACTTGTTCCTTCATTCACTGCAGCATTTTGCATCACAGCAGTTAGTGTGTCATAGTACAACAAATTTTTATTGAATGCAATGTCTGTGCAAGATCCTTCATTAGATCCTATGAAAAGAAGTCTCAGAAATTTGGGGTTGGTGAGTCTATAGAATGGAAGGAAATTTGGTATTATACTGCAGCAAGGACATTCAACATTCTGGGGTGAGTCAGTTACTCATTCTGACTTGGGTTTCTTGTCTGTTCCATTGTAGTATCAGTCATGATATAAATGAAGACTTCAGGGATGTTGGATAGAAATCATGCTTGAAAACAGGTTGTCTGTATGAGATAGATTCACCAGTAAGAACAGTTGCCAAGAAAACTCACACATGCTAGCTAACCCATGAATCTGTGATAATAATGTCCTAGAATAGTCTTCAGAACTTTCTAGAATGATGGCAGTGGTCCATTTCTATTCTGTCTCATTTGATAGCCTCCATTCACATTTGGCAAAAGGCAGCTTAATTGAATTTGAGATTTTGTTTAATCTTTTTTGTTTGTTATTTTGACAGGGTCTCCCTAGTCCCATCCTGCCTGGAACTCACTGTGTAGACCAGGCTGGCCTCATTTTCACTGAGATCCACCTACCTCTGCCTCCCGTAGTCTAGGATTAAAGGTGAGTGCCACCACAGCCGGCGGGGTTTTTTGTGTGAAATTTTCTTTGACCTTAATTGATTTAAATCTAAACAGCCACATATAGCTTGTAGCTGATGTATTGAATAACAGAGTTGTCTATTATGACATACCTTGAAGAGCATTGCGAGTTCTTTGCTGTTTGACTTTAAAGTTAGCAGAAACTCTTGTCTTTCTGGATGGAGGGATTTTTTTCTAAAGCCGTCAGTGAGTACAGATGGCTCTCACAACTTGAGGCCGGGGCTTCAGCTACAGATGTCCTGGCAAAGATGTCTCTCAAAGAAAAGTTTTGTCCTGGTCGCTTAAGTTACCTGGATTGCTTTTCAGTTGTTTCCAGAATCATCTTGCAAGGGTCCTGAAAACTTTGCCTGTCTGCTTTTTGCCATCGCTATTTCCAGCTGCTTCAGACCAGAGCTTGGGCTCTAGTCTGCTAGCTATGAAACAGAAAGGTCCATAGACTTCTTGAATCTTCCAGTTACTCAAGAGATGCATAACTACCCTGTTCGGGTTCCTGTTCCTCCTCCTCTTCTTCTTTTCTGTCTCTCACCTATCCCTCTCCTCTCTCCCTCTCTCCATCTTTCTCTCATCCCTTCCTATTCTTTGTGTTTCTTTGGCATAATTGACCTACATTGATTGAACACTTGCTTACAATTTTCCATTTCACTTCATTAGTAAAGACTTCTATATCCTTTATTATATATATCTATCTATATCATTAGTCTGTGAACGAGCAAATGTCATGGTGTACTTGCAGAGATCAGGACAACTTCCATGAGTTGATTGTCTCCATCCACTATGTGAGTCCTGGGGATTGAATCAAGTCATCAAGCTTGGCAGTTGGTGCCTTTACCTGCTACCATCTTACCAGCCCCTAACCTCTAAGTTTTCTAAGAAGATTTACCATTGATCTTAAATGTATGCTTTTCACTACTATACTTATCTGGTGAGAATATAAATAAAATAGTTTGAAAAAGAGATGTGCAAAATTATGTTAGTATTCTTAATTTTTTTTAACACCCAGAATTTCAAGCTTAAATTCACCTTCCCTCAGAATTTCAAAGCTAGTTTCTACCACCTGGCATGCCTCATCACTGGGAAAGTATCATGTCTATGTTGTTCTTGCTCTACTTAACAGAAGTAGATACCTTTTTATTTTAATTTTTATTCTTAAGATTTGAAATTTTACAACTTCAACCTTTTCGAGAAATTCAATCTAGCCTCTGTGTAATGAACCCCTTCTATCTGAGCACTAATATTCAAAACAAGTGCTTATTCCTTTCATCTTCTCAGTGTGCTCCTAGAACTTCTGGAAGATGCTTATTACCATGGTTGGATTGACCTCTGTGTCCCTGGATTGTTCTCTTATATTTTTTGGGGGGGGGGTGTAGGTATTTATTCTTCATATTCTTGGATATTTCTTCAATTTCACTTATTAATATCAGTAATTTGGCCATGGTTGCATTTGCACTTATGAATTTTACTAATTTCAAGTATTTGTACTTATGGGGCTGGAGAGATGGCTCAGCAGTTAAGAGCACTGATTGCTCTTGCAAAGGACCTGGGTGGTTCCCAGCACACACGTGGCAGCTAACAACCACATATAACTCCAGTTCCAGGGGATCCGATGCCCTCTTCTGACCTCCATGAGCATTAAACAGCATGAGTACACCTACCTACATGCAGGCATTACCCCCATACACATAAAATAATAAAATATTTTTGAGAAAAGAATTGAGTGTTTATGTTGCTAGCTTATGGACCTTTTTTCCTTGATCCCTTCTTTATGACAGTAATCTGTTCTTTGGTATTGTTTGTTGTATGATGCTGAGGGTTTAACTTCGGGCCTCACACACCAGGCGGGCACTCTCCCACTGAGCTATATCCTCAGTTCTAGTTCTTTTTCTTTTTTTTGTCTGCAATACCCAACTAGCACTCTGAAAATAGTAACTAACTCTCAAACTCCAAATGCCTCCTGCTTTCTATGACTTGTTTCCTTCTAGGCAATATATTTATTTTGCTGTTATTGTTTTCTCTTACTGTTATTATTCAGCTGAGTTTTTACGCTTGGCTGTTGATGTGTATGTCTTAGAAGAAGACTTGGTTAATTGCTTGATTATTATAGTTGTTGGCTATGTGTTTCTTATGCAGTTGTAGGGACCTGTTTCCTCCACAAAACTATGCTGCGAATAGAGTTCTGGGCCTGTGAGTGGAGAAGTAAGACAGATGTCACACTTGATGTTAAGACACACACACATAACATTAATACCAGAGTGACAAGATTCCCCAGGAATCGTATTTTCTTTGCAGGCAAACCAAATGTCTCCTTTTATGTGTTGTTCTTGTCTTTCAGAAAGCTGCAGCTGAGGTTCAGTTTATCCATCCTTCTATCCATGACTATCACTCCCTCTCCAGAACAGCCACCAGTACCAGCAGTTATGATGGTCACTCTGGTACCAAGAGTTTGCCGCTCTTCAGTGTTCTAGGAGGAAAGGGTTGGCCTGGCCCCTTTATTCAGAAAAATAGTTTTCAGTTCTTCTCACTGCTGTTTTTTTTTTTGAGTTGGGGTGCATCCCAGATCTTTTTATTTGGTTTTGGATATGGAGGTTTTTGGATGAGCATTTACTTCCCAATTTTCTCATGTGCCTTTTTCAGGTTAAGGGATTTTCTTATCTAATCAAACAATTATTGCCTGCTTTTTTATCTTCCAGGAACTTCCAAATATTTCTCTTCTGCTAATGAAATATTGAGTGGTTTCTAGATCTAAACCTTTTAAAAGATACTGTGTCTTGATGCTTAGCTTGATTTGTAGAGGAGACAGTGTGTACATTTTGTTCTCTTGGTCAAATTTTCTTGTACTGATTCTTCAATAGTACTTGTTCCATTAAAAATTAATGTGACCCCCCTTGTTTTGAAAGAAATATATAATCTTTACTGGAAACAGAAAATATGGTCAGGCAAGATAAAGAATAACTATTTTTATGGGCCTCAATAAATTCTATGATTTCACTAAAGAGCCAATGAATCTAGTTTTTCAATTTTCTTGAAATAAGGGTATAGAATATTTAGCTCTTGTTTTAATAGAGCCAGTATATACAAATAAAAAACGCTAAGTCAATCTCCGGGTGCCTAATGCATGGTCTGGCTCTTACTCATCCTGAGCAGAATTCTACTACCCAAAGCAGTACTCCAGGATTTGAAAGACCTGAATTAAATGTTCTTTTCAATAACACATTTACTTGGAAAATAGTTAATCTTATTTATCTCCAATCTCATAATTGGTAAGCATTTAACAAAAGTTGGACCTGATTTATAATTGATGATACAAATATGACTATGCAGTGTGTTTTTATATATCCAATTTATGCGTGAATCGACTGTATGCAACAGAAAACCCAGGAAATCATGACTTGAACTAATATGAGTTTTTCTCTTTTAAGATGGACCTGAAGGCAGACAGTCCTTTTTCTTGACCTGACTCTGGCTTCCTCTTGTGTTCTATTTTGTCATTCACATGCAGTCCTCATCAGTTTGTTTACAAGTTAGCTGGACCACTGTAGTGCCCTATCCATGTTCTGGCAGTTCCTGGAACTTGTATCAGTGGATTCCGTCCTTCTTGTCTTTCCTGGAAATCCTACTTCGTAGATTGCACAGCTCAGAACTGCATTTTTCTTAACTGCAAATGATCCTGAAATGCTGAGTTTTTCTTTTTCATTAGACACATAATTTCCTGGGGAGAAAAATCAATACTGTTCATGAAGACAGCAGACTGGATATAGGTGTGTAGTTAACGGTATCTTCTACAAAGAAAAGTGCCAATTTTAGTCCCTAGCATATGCTATCTCAATATTGAGGGACAGAGGCTAAATTCAATAATCAGTGTATATGCTGTCACAGATTGGGGGCTTTCTCCCCCAATCAATCTACATGAAGGTACATATAATGTTCATACCCCATAGTTCACTGCACACAATTAAATTTGAAAGGCCATTTTTGACTTTTAAACATATTTTAATTTTCCTCAATATCCAAATGATTTTTGTTGTATCCCACCTCTTTTTTTTCCCCCCTTTTTTTGATGCAAGCCTAGGTGAAAAAGTGATGCCAATTATCACCAGAAAAAAAAAAAAAAAAAAAGAGATCAATTGGTAAGATAAAGGGAAATAAATATCAGGAACCTAGAAGAAGTTTGTTTCAAGGCAGTTAGGTAAACTTGGCGGAAAATGCTTATTTACTCTGAGACAATTAAGAAAAAGGAGACTGTTAAACTAAGGAATGAATAATAGTTAAGTCTACACATTTCCACATGCTTTACCTGTACCCTCAACACCAGAAAATAACAGCTGCTATAGCTCCAGTCACAGCCTGAAGTGGGAACCTGGGGGACCTGTCACCTCCCTGTGTTTTCTTGACAAATCTTTTGCCGCCATCTACATATCACACAATATTAATTTAATTCTCATTGTTAGACCTATTTTGGCATTCTCATTACTTTCTCAATGGAAATATCTATGGGAAGCAGTGCTGTATCTTTGTAAGTGTAAGTATGTTTTGTGAAGCACTGTTACACCATCTAAAATGTGTGACAGTTGGCACTGAACTGTATCACTTAGCACAGGAAGAAAGAAGTTTCACTAGAGCCCACTTTATATCTATTCTTTGTTTCCTTTTGGTTTGTTTTTGGTACCGGTTGGAAGCCAGGACCTCACACATGTTAAACACGGGTTTTACCACTGAACTTACCCCCCCCATCCCATCCCAAGTTTACCACCTGGTCTATTTTAAATAGTACAGCTTCAAAGAAAGCTAATGTGAATTTATAACTGCCTACAGAGCTATCTCAGCCCAAGGTTTTATCTTTATGAGCTGAATTCACATCAGCTCATACAGATACATAATCTGTATCTGCCTTGGGTCGCCTTGAAACTGTGTGCCCCTGGGGGAGCCCAGGGAGGACATGGGTTTGTCAGCATCTCCCTCTGCTTGGATTCATATCAGAGACACAGATTCTATGTCATTACTCTGTGATGTGTGTCCTTCTCTGCAGCTCTATTTACCTTTATCCCTTCCTGTTAGAGGCAAAGGGATTCCTTTCTATGAATAAAGAGACTCTAGACCTCCCTTTGTCCAAGGAAGGTGGCGGTGGTGGTGGTTAGGTTCTATAGGACATATTTTCATTGATCCTGTATCTGATGAGAGCCAGTATATCTGGAGCTCACAGTTTCGGGGCTTTGCTGAGCAGTTTGGATACGGCAGTTGGGCTCTGGCTGCTCTTCCGTTGGTAGCTGAGGTCTGAGGGGAGAGTAGCTAGCTGGCACCAGAAGCAGTCCTGTTTTGCAAAATCATCCCTCTTTTTTCTGATTATTATATTTCTCTTTAGAGTGTCAGCTCTATCCAGACACAGGCCTTCGCATTTTCTGTCTGGTTGGCAGTAGCCATCCTTAAGCTTTGTGATATTCCATCAGTTGAGGAAGTGTTATGTAGCCCACATCCAACCAGGACACTTGATTGTTTGCTTCTTTCTGTTTTCCGCAAGCACTTTAATTTTTCCCAGTAGACAGATGATAACAGTTGGCCTTTGAATGGCCTGTCTGTGAAATGAGTGTGTCGGCCCAAGAAGGGCATTCACCCACCCTACATTTGTCCTTCATCTGCTGCCCTCCACCTGGACCCTGCTGAGCTTTGCTAACCCTTTGGCTATAGCTTTAGTCTAATGAAGTGGTTCCATCTCAGTGCCAAGAAGAGCCCAAGACCCTTTCAGGCTATCACCAACACAGGACTGTAGGAGGCCTCAGTACCCCTTCTTCCCAGAATCCTTCCTGCCAGTACACTCTTCCGCTCGCCCACATATGGTTTGGTTGGCCTTCCACTCCCCTCACTATTGGTTTTTCTTTCCACTCTCCCAACACTGGTTTTCCCTTCCACTCCCCCAACACTGGCTTCTCCTGTTCCTTTTGTCCAAATCCTTGAAGTTCTTACAGCCTCCTAAAGGCTAATGAAGAGGCAGGCATGATGCCAAGCACACAAGGAAGCCTCTCACTAAGTCAGAAAATAACATTTAAATTTTGCTTTGCCTTACCCAGAACTGTTATCTAGATAAATAAATGTAATAACAAAAAGAGAGGTCGTACACTTCATTAGAGTACCTCCCAGGTTCTCACATGGCTGCAGTTTGCTGTGAGGACCACAGGAGCTGGCCACGGATCTCCCTGGCCACTCCACCAAGAAACCACTTTTATAGTAAGTTTTCCTGTGAATTGCCCTATTGCCCTCTGTATTTTTCATTCAGAACTTGTTTACTGCTTGGTGTTTATTAATTTCTCTTTTGCTTAAAAGCATTGTTGTTTTGTGTTATTCTTAGGCTCAGGATGTCTCTAAAAATTGTCAAACTCATTTCTCAGAACTCATTTATGTATTTTGAGATAGGGTCTCTTGAAGACAAGACTAGCTTCAAACTCACTGTGTCACTAAGGATAACCATGAGTTCTGGATCCTCCTATCTCTACATACCAGCACATCCAGCTTACAGCTGTTCTTATAAAAATATTTACCTTCTTAATATTGAGGTGTGGCAGAGGGGATGGTGCGCTCAGTCTTTATCCTGATCAAAGTTTGCTCGTGCTGCCTCTTGAGCATTGTTTCCATTTACAAATACATGTGTGCTTTTCTTACTCATCTAGGATATAGAGTTCGGGAGAAAGTTAGAAAATACAGAGAAATAAGATGAAAAATAATCTTTTCTAAGATCTGGCATAACAACTTATGGCCAGTAATACTAGTATATTTATCTTTCAAAAAGTGCCTTCATGGGACTGGAGAGATGGCTCAGTGGTTAAGAGCACTGACAGCTCTTGCAGAGGACCCTGGTTTGAATCCCAGCACCCACATGGCAGTTAACAACCTTCCATTACTCCAGTTCCAAGGGATCCACCACCCTCTTTTGTCCTTCCCGGGCAATGCACAACATGGGTGCACTTTACATATATGCAGGCATAACACTCATACATAAAAATAAAAATAAATAAATAAGTAAAAATTTTAATAATCACTATAAGTTACTTCAGCCATGGAGTAGAATATTTGCATCTTACTTGGGGAAATGTCTTTATGACAAATGTTGCTAAATCTTAGAGACTGTGCTTGAAGTCTGCAGTGCAGCCCAGCCCAGTGGAAACCTAGTCTTCCCGGTATGTTTCCATGTAATGAAGCTTTTCCAGTATTCAGTGAATGAGATGAAATATTTGGTTCAACATTACGTGTTTATGAAGTGATCAGTTTAACATTTTCCACTTTCTTAATGGACAAAGAAATTTCACCTGTTCTTGATACAGATTTACAAACCATTGTGGAATACAGTCAAAAAGTTTATAGTTTTTTTAAAGACTTTTTAAAAAGTTTATTTTTACTTTATGCGTATGAGTGTTGTTATGCCTGCATGTGTGTTAAGTACACCCATGTCCTGCAGTGCCCGAGGAGGACAGAAGAGGGCGTCAGATCCCCTGGAACTGGAGTTATGGACGGTTGTTAGCCTCCATGTGGGTGCTGGGATTCAAACCCAGGTCTTCTGCAAGAACAGCCAGTGCTTTTAACCACTGAGCCATCTCTCCAGCCCCCATAAAGTCAAGTTTTAAGACAGCATGATTTTAACAGGGAGCTGCATTCTTGAACAGTAGAGACTTTTAAAATGAGAAGCTCAAGGTCAGAAGGCCCAGGTTGATATGGTTGGCAAGCATGGATCCACCAACTTTCATCTTCTGACTCTGCTCCCCTTAGCATTTAGGCTAATGTGCAATATTCACAAGATGTATGACATCACAGGAACCACACCCATATCCCCAGAGTAGCACTAAGCAGTTCCATCCAATTAGCAAGGAAACATTAAACTTCCTAAATACTCCACCAAATAGAGTTTATCTTGTTGGATGTAAGTGCCATCACAGGATCACACTTAGTCTTTAGTTAAACACACAGCACTGTAGGGTAAAATCATGATATTCATATGGTAAAGAAGAGAATTTGGGCAGGCAGCTAGCAATACCTGGTTCTGAGACCAATTCTGTTATAGTCCATGGTATTTACTAGGATCAGTATGATTACAGCTGAATTGTAAGTGCTATTATCAACATACAAGTACCTATTAATTCTGTGTGTTTTTGTGTAGTTATACAAATGCACATACATATATAAACGCTGCTGTAATGTGCAATGAAATACACAGTCATGTTTGTGGTGGATAAAAATGACTTTCATTTTTTTCCTTAGCCAAATGATTCTTGTGACAACTGTACCCCTCAGCTGGATGGCACAGAAGAAGAAAAAGAGCTGCCAGGAGTTATCAAAACAAGTGATCCACTGGTAAGTTATGAGAGGAGACCGGGGTAGGAACAAAGTAAGACACTCATGAAAAACTTGAAAAAGATGCAGTGTAATTAAGGTGGTTGACAATCATATCCATTAGCATGCCTGACTCCTTTTAAGCAACTTATAAGAAAAATATTCAGCAGTAAAGGAGCCCAACACACAGCTGCATATTCCATGGAAACTGTAGATTCTATACATAACTAAATAACCCAATGATTGTAATTTTGATAGACTGCATGTTCTTCAATTTTTCCTTTAATTAAAAAATCCCTTAGGAGAGTTAGTGCCACTGAGTCACAAGTCGGCCTGCTGGAGCATGAGTCCTTGGCTGTTCTCTGGGTCCCCCATTGTAAGATGACGTCAGTCTCCTCACTGCTGATGGTGCCTCTAAGTACCATTTATTCCCAGGTCCATGCCTTCTCCGGCAGCCACTTCTACTCTCCACGTACACAGAAGAGGGCAGAGGCAAGCGAGACTAGGATGGTGTCAAGCCTCTACCGTTTATTTTACTTCATGATTTGGAAGACTTAGTACTATGGCACCATTTCCAGAAGTTTCTCCCTTTGCTTTCAGCCTTGGTGCTGTTTTGACAGACAGTTCAGTAGATTTTTAAAAAGATACATTATCACCAGAACTTCTGTCTCTTACCCTACTTTTGTGGGCGCTGCTAGGACTTTTTTTTTTTTTTTTTTTTTTTTTTTTTAGGGAGTACTTTTTGAGACAGGGTCTCCCTGTAGCCCCCCCTGGCCTGGAACTTACTGACTATGTAGACCAGGCTGGCCTTGAACTCACAGAGATCTGCCTGCCTCTGCCTCCC